CCTCCTCCATATTCGGCAGAATCAAGGTCCTTGTCAGAGCTTCCTCGGATAGGTCATATCACCGACCAAATCAGTGTAAAAATCGTTGTTTTTGTCTGATTTTGCCCAAGCTGCTTCATTTCTTCGTCTTCATTGTTTGCCACCTCTCGGCTGCTGGGCTGGTTTGGGTTTCTCTCTTGTTGTTGCCGAGCGGAGAACCGACTGCGGCTGCTGTATTGTTATCTTTTGCTAGTGTTTCAAAGAAGGCACTGGCATCCTTTTTTGAACCGTGCGCCTTTTGATGAGCTTCAGCCATTTTTGTTGTTTTGCATAGCGTCTTGGTTCGTGGAAGCCGAATCCTTGGTTGCTGCTTCGCCGGAGTATTTCGTCATTCTCTTGAAGATTCAGACGTGTTGCTCCTGATGATGCATGTGTTGCTTCTAATGATGCATGAGCTCATTTACCACCAAGTACGGTGGAAAGAAGTGATGATTCACCACCACCAAGACCACCAACCTGGACCGACCTGGCATCAATTCAGATCGTGATGGGCTAATCTCTGACCTATTGTTGAAAGTAGAGAGGGCTCCTCGGCTTAGCAGTACTAACAAGTGCTCGAAGCTCAGCGGCACTACATGATGTACTTTATTGATGTGCCGCCTCAATCCACTGTACGATAATACTGCCTTTTGGCAGTAAGGGCACTGCGGCATGGCTTCCTGTATCAATCAAAACTGGGATGCAAGTTGACCATTGATTTGTAGCATGATAAAGCAACCATCCTCACCATATAGCAGCACCACACCAGCTAACACGACTCAAGGCCCATTTTTTGGCCTTTTTCTGCGATTTTGTGGTTGAAATAGGTGTTGGATTTATGACCTAACGACAAAGTTGGCCGGGGCACTTTCCGTGTTCCCCACCCATTGTATTCTAGAGTAGGCCTTAAGAATTTCTGAGAAGACTAATTATAATTAGAAGCATTAGGTCATGATTTTCACGGTGCACTCAAAATCTGCGTATTTATTTAGAATTGACGACCACCCTTCTACTTGATTCGTGTGTTTGGTCATTCGAGGCTTCTTAGACGTTATGTTGTCATTGCTTCGTGCTTTTGGCTCTCGCAGCATGGATGTGTCTTGCATCCATCATTCATTTTGAAACTCCTGTGTGGTACTTGTGGTCTTTTCGCACTGTCTGTTGGCAATGTGCCCTCCATTATTCATGTCGTTGCACTGTAACAAATGGATGGAAGACATTCTATAGCTCTGTGGATTGATTGATTGTAGTTTGTGTTTCTTTCCAAGAATCAGCAACACCGTTTTGATCGATCAGCTCGCTTCAATGAGCACGGAACTAAACAAGTGACAAAAAATGACTTGAACAAGTCCTTGTGGCGATATCAGTTCAAAGACTGCTTTTCCAAAAATCTCGGATTTGAATGTGGATGCAACGTCATTAAAGAGTGCTTGTTGCGATTTTGCCAACTTCCGTTGACTTTTGCTTTGCAGGTTCAGTGTGGCTTGTCCCTCGTGAATGGGATCCGACAAGGCCCCCAGTATCCCTTTTCGCACCGACCGTAATAGTTTGACCACCCCCATGGGAGTGGAAATCCCCATGAGTTCCAGAATGACCCCGCGCCAGGGTTCCACTAATGATGATGATGATGATGATGATGTACCAGTGTAAGAATGGTGGTAGTAATGGGAATATGCCAGCACGGGTATCGTGACTGCTTGAAGCCAAAAGGCTGCCGCACACATGAGCATGGCTCGTACGGTGGTCACGGCTTGTTGTTTGATTTGTGCTTTGGATGTATGATGATGTTCCTGGTAGTCTCGTAGGGCGGATGCCTTGATTCCCCGTGTTTCGTCCCATTGAATGTAGGCGACCAGTGTGACGACTCCCACGATTATGAGTAGTATGTGTTGCTCGAGTTGGGGAATCTCCTTGCCCCACGCCAAGATGACATTGGTCACGGACCCAATCGTCACCACAATGGCACTTATCCTCCACGTGCTGGCTCCGTAGCGAAGGATTTGGACCAGTGCTTGGGCTTGATGACGACCTTCTTCTTCTTCCTTCACTTTGTTGCTTTGACTATTCATAATAGCATTATTATTTTGTTGAGAGACCAACAGTTTGTACAACTGGGCAGCATGCCACGTATTGTAGGCAAATCCAAGCTTCCAAAGGCTCCGTAATGCCTTGGAGAACCCTTCTTGGGTTTTCCAATCGACAACGACTTGCATGCCAATAGTGACGCAAATGTCCACCAGGGCGGAAGCGACAGCCAGTTTTGAACAGTGGAGAACGGCATCGGCTGCTTTCAACGTTTCGTCGTGAGCCTCATTATCCACAACAGCAACAGTACGATCGTTCTTCGCATCAGCAGCAACAGTGGTCTCCTTTTGTCCTCTCTTGGACATGATGCTGGATTAAATGGGGAATTGGGAAGAGATAAGATGATGGAGAGGAGACCGAGGGAGATTGCAAAGGTTGTGGTTGTTGTCGGTGTCGGCGAAGAAGAATTCCGAATCTTTTCAGTCCTGTTTGGAGTCACGAATGGATCTTTGGTTGTTCAAACCAGATCTTTTCCCATCATTCTCGCGACAGATCATTCCTGGTCGTCCCAAATGTGCCGACCATGGCCATGTTGTTACCGCCACCCGTTCTGCTGCTGTCACTACTACTACTGTTGTTGATAAGACCAAGCTATGGATTCTCCACCCCCCGAAATGGCAAAGCTCTCTGGAACAACAAATCGCCTTCCAAGGTTCCACTGTACAGCACAGCTAATACACAAGCCAGCATTCCCAGTGAGTTTCAAGAGGAATCGATCAATTCCGCTCTAGCAGCCCGAGCATGTGCCCGAGCGTCCGCCCTCTCGGCCGTGGTGGATATGGGGATTCATGCCTTGGAATTGGTCGATAGTGGTGGCGTTACTACTACAAGTATCCGCAGTATTCTACTACAAGATGGCAACATCCTCGCCAGCCTTCGAACGATTTGGAAATTGGGATTTGCCGGCAATTTGTGGTTTGCCTCCTCGCTCATGGCCAAAAAGGGTCAGGCGTCCCCCCAAGATGCCCAACGAGGTCTGACCACCATGACCAAAGTATGGAGAATCACGGGAATTGTCGTGTCCATTTCCACCGCCACCAACTTGGCGGTGGCATGGCAAAGCAGGGTCACTCGTATACGAGAGGGAATTGCCGTTGTGATGGCAGGAGTCATTGCCTTGGTCTTTTGGAAATCCCAGCAACAAACCAAAGGACTGGAAGAGCAATCCCACCACAATGACAATAACAATAGTGACAATGACAACAATCTACTGGTGGAAACTTTGCGTCGACAAGGCAAAACCATGTCCCGCGCCATGCTCTTTTGTACCGCCAGTTTTCTACTCCAAATTGGATTTATTCCCTTGATTGCACTCTCCCATGCCACCTATTCCTGGCAAGAAGTCATATTGACACTGCTCAATTTGCCCACTCCATTGGCACTGGTGAGTGCCCTGCGACGATTGCGAAAGTCCTTTTTGCAAGTCTTGTGGCAGGCACAACCGCTCCAAGGCAGCAGCAGCAACCAAGTGGCACTGCCTTCCGAGACATTTCACAAATGGACCCAGGGACAGCAGCAGTTTTATGGAGAAGCTCGATCGGCGTTCAGAGCGGATCTAATCATGAAGATACTCTTCACCCTGGCGTCGCCCAGAGGGATTGGAAAGATTATCATTACGCTATTTGCTGCCAAGGTTGGGTAGACAACATACATTGCAATTAGCTCATCCGAACAGGTGAACCTAAGCTAGCTAGTAATAGATAGCCAAAGCCACCCTAGCTAGCTATGAAGTCATCCATTCCAAGCAGTGGGGCAGGGTGAGCTGCCAGCTCTAGTTTGACCAAGAACAGAAAGGAACTTGACAGCATTCCAGGTTGATCTTCATGGTGGTGCCTAGTAGCATCCTTCTAAACGTGGGAAGAAAGTAACAAGCACATCATAAATGCCATCATGCGACTACAAATAAATGGTGTGTCGTTGACTTGCTTTTGAGGTCTACATTTCCACTTCGGTGTATCCTCGATCAATGGTATAGAAACGTTGCACAAACACATTGTCAATCAAGTCATCCGAGTTGAAATGCTCGCGCACAACACCAAAAATGTCCAGATAATTTCCTGTCTCTTCCAACACCACACCATGATACCGAAAGGCCACCAGAATACCATCCGTCTCCGAGTCTTCGTACACTTCAAAATGACTCAATTGATGAAAGGAAAAGCGACGAGTGGCAAAGTTGACCCACAATCCTCCCACTGCATCGGTACCATTCAGTGAAAACTGGCGAGCACCGGCATCAATATCCCACACCACATCCTCGGTACTGGAAGGGACAATCCGTTCCATGTAGAATTGCAGGGGATCTGCCACGTCCTCATTGGCAATATTGTCCACTTCGGTCAAGAGCACCGTCGCCAAGAGTTGGTACTTGTAGGCAGTCTCGGAATCTGCCAGTTCCAACACGGGATCCTCTGCTGCAGCGCCCTTGGCATCTTCCTTGACATCTTCCTTGGCATCATCCTTGGAGTCCTCCGTGGGGGCTTCTTCCATCGACACGCTTTCTTCTTCCTCCAAGTTTCGCAGTTTGCTGGTCCTTTGACCTTTGAGCAGGTTCGTGTTGCCAGTGGCGCTCACGGCGTGGGAGGCCAAAAGCAGCAAGCTTAGCATTGCAACGAAGTGGAAGGAGGAGCGCATCATCTTCTATCAGCCAGCAACTTGATTATGATGTGCAAGGTACGATACTTCTCGTTATTATAACTGTGTGCGAACTTATGTCAAACAAAAGAAGGAAAGCAGGTGAAATGGGATGGTTCTGATTTGTACCTGGTACCGGTGCATGATTCATCATTCGACACGAATTGATCAGGCTGTTTTTGTGATTTTTCTCGTCAAGTTTCCCAGACCAATTTTGTCAGATTTCGGGTGGATCTTTGGTGTCATGTTTTTTGGTGTCACACACGAATGAAGAGGCACCGTTCCGGTACCGTTCCGGTACGGTACCGGTACAGTACAGCCGTACCGGTACCTACCCGTACGGTACCATACCGTAAAGCAAAGAAGTAGGCTACTCTAACCTCCACTATGATGTGGCTCGACGGCACCATCAAAGAGCTGCCATTTGCAACAAGCAATCAATCACAAGCTTCCCGGTGCTGGCAAAAAAAATCAAAGTCTATTAACGGATGCAGACAAGCTGTGCTTGAGGACCACCCACGAGCCGAGGCTCGGGTATTTCCCACAGTCAAGTAAGCTTCCCGGTGCTGGCTAATACATTGTAGGTAGTAGGCTTGGCCAAATCAGTCTCCTGTGGCCATGACATCATAAAACCCAGGCATCCTGGTGTTCCCAGCCAGTGCAATCTCCCAAGCAACGATGATGTCCTCCCTGGAAACTAACTGTTTCTCCCAATCTGCAAGAGTCCTTTGCAGCAGGATCTGGGCGTATGCACTGGGCAGCAGGATGCTGGGGATGGTGCGTAAATCCTGAAACAGCTTGGTTTCATCTTCCTGCACTTGCCAGCTCTTAGCAAATGAAGTGGGATTGGTGCCGAAAACAATGCAGTGGTTGTGAGGAGGGAGCGATACTTTGCTGTGCTTCTGAAAACAATCATCAAAACTGGTACATGTAGGTCTGGCTACCTGCGGCTCCTGGCCCCCTCCTCGACGACTCTCACTCGACTCGATTCGATTCGCCATCTCCAGTCTTCCCGAGTGCGGTTAATTTACCACATCTACTTTGACTCGACCCGACTGTCACTCCAGATCCGTGGACCGCTCGACCGCTCCACACTCCACAGCTCCACAGCCTCCGCTGGTGTGGTTAGCTTGTGGCTTGTGGTTCCGGTGCCTTTCGAGTCCTACAAGGTAAGGCAGAAGCACGGTTTCGATTTTTAAAACACATACCGTACTCGAGTAGTCACGAGTTTCCTCTAACTACCCGGGTACACTAGTTACGGGCTTTTGTCATCCAGCCGAACAAGGTTTTCAACTTCCGCTCAGTCTTAAGGTTAAAGGCACCGAACCCTGCTTGAGTCACGAGCGGCAGATTTGGGGAGCCCATCACGCCAATGACACCATAAAAGTCCACACCAGTGCTCTTTGTCATCTTCCACGTTCCAATCTCGAGGGGGGCGGGGCGCAGATAAATTTTGCGGGGTGTGTACCAGTCACCGATACAAGCTCCACCACCTGTACGAGCACATGTACTAGCTAGTACTCCAAAGCAGCGGTACCGTACCGTTGCCGCGGTACCACATTCCATTATTATTTTGAGTTCTGCTCAGCCGCTCAGCCGTTCTTGACAGTCCACACAAAACTTCCAAAACACTTGTTTCTTCTTCCAAATTCCAAACAAAAGTTGAACCATGAGGTGCTTGTCATTTGCTGGACAGTCTAGGTTTGCCGTCAATGTGGTTTTGACTGCTCTTCTTATCACGGATCTTTGGCTCCCTGCTGCTGCTGTGATTCAGTGTTGTGATGGTTCTTGTGGCAATAATTGTTTGACAGTACGGGAGCTTGTCTTTTGGTATGCTTGCGAAACTGGAACTGACTGCAGCACCTTACCTGAAGTGTGGGCAAGTCACCCCCGTGCTGATTATTGCTGCGGCCCAGTAGACGGTCCGCATTATTTGCCACTACCAATTCATGATCCGGTTCTTGGGTTGATCTTTCCTTCGTTCGTACCAGATATAGCAGACGTGTGCCTTTATGGAGGTGCTTTCCAGTATCCGAATGGAGCAACACGAGATATCTGGTGCAATGACATGAGACATTTTGCATATGCCGAAAATGGTGCTACCCTGGCTTGCAATCTATGGGGCACATTAGGTCCAGGACTATTCTGTGGCACTGGTGACTATGGATTTTCTGGTGGTAAGCTCACAACACCTTGGGCATGTGTCATGAACAAGCTATGCATTTGCTCACTAATTCACACCTGTGCCGACATCTTGTGCTTTCAGGAGACCCTCACTTCAAGGTAGGATGGTTGTTGCCCATTGTTAGCGGCAAGTTATTCATTCTGCATTCAAAATGCTGACCTGTCATGATGTTTCCCCAGACATGGATCGGAGAGTGGTATGATTACCATGGTGAGATCTCTTGGCTCGACATGTATCCAGAACCAAATTCCATCCATCTAACCGCATCTTTCCCCTCCCTTGCTGCTTATTTAGGCGTCTGTGACTTGGTGTTTCTTCATGCTCCAGATGCTGCTGGCGGGCTACGATTGGATATTCACATTCGCACCAAGGCCAGGTACGAATATTCCTACATTACCAGTGCAGCTATTCGTATTGGCAATGGGGAGGAAGATGTACTGGAAGTTGCCAGTTGGGGTAACTACATGCTTGGTGGAATCCAGAATGCGGAGCTACCTGGTCTGTTGGCAGACAAGTATCCTGTGATCTATACTCGAGTGTCAGACAAGGAGCATCGGTTCACAATCCAGCTGGATGATGATGAGACAGACGGAGAGAAGGTCGTGATGACTGTCTTCAAGGATTTGGTCAGCATCAAGATTGAGAATTCCAGCTATGAGTCCTTTGGCAGTTCCCGTGGATTGCTGGGTGATTTTCTCACTGGGGCATTTGCAGCCAGAAACGGAACTTTCATTCCCAGTGATGATCCCACTTCATTTGCCGAGAGCTGGCAGGTCCAGGAAGATGAACCCAAGCTGTTTCAGGATTCTAAGCAGCATCCCCAGCATCCTGCCCAGTGCATCCGCCCCGACCCTGCTGCAAAGGATTCCCGTCGATTGGGAGAATCAGTTGCCAGGGAAGCTGCCATTGCTGCTTGCTCCCACTGGGAACACCAGGATGCCTGTGTTTATGATGTCATGGCCACAGGAGACTTGGATTTGGCTGAGGCCACTCCCTATTAGATGCATTATTGTGATTGATCGTGCAACATGAACCCCTTGAGCGGCAACAACGATCCATATCTTTCTATATAGTAATACATTTTATTTCTACCACGTTCTGTCTTCTGCTTGGTTGATCGAGATCATTGTGGTGCTGACAACCATTTCTCTGCTATACCGGTACATCTGGTATCGCTCATGTGCATATCCACCCTCGTCTAACACTCTGGATATCCTGTTTCGACGCAGCAATCCAAGGTATCCTCATCATCCTTGCAGCACCCTCGACTGTTGCAGTCCGTGACAAGGGCACCCGTCACAAACATGTTGATAATCAAAACTAAAAAGAAGATCCAACCCACAATGAACTGAAGGTCGTGGAAAAGACTTGGCTTTTCAGGCATGGGTGGCATGGGAGTTTCGTACTTGGACTTTTCCCAACACGCCACGACCTCTGTGGCGTGCTTCCAAGAGGCAAAGGGTACAAAGATGGTTGCATTGTCGTCGTTGTTTTTGGTTTGGATTTGAATTCCCCAGGGTCTCAAAAACTGCATAATGATAAACCAAATGGGCCACCCGCCGAACCATACCGCTCCCATGAGTTGATGGTTGGAAGAGGAACCCAGCGATTCTTCGGCTCCCCAAATAATGGATGGGATGAGGTGAAATAGAAATGCCAGGACAAATGCCAAGCCGGCATCTCTCACTAACCTGCCGCAATGGCATAGAGGCTGCTGTAGCACTTGGAGTGTCGTGTCGTCGTTCATGGGGACGGACTGTTCTGTACCAGCACAGCAACCGCAGCAGGACGCCGAAATGTGAGCCATTTTTTCGTTGCCTGTCGTGTCAAAGGTGACCGTGAAGGAACCAACGGGCAAGAACCGATAGAGTAAAAGGTTAGTGTGGAGAATCCTCTCGTCATCATCGGATGGGGCTGGTTGCTCTGCTGGCGCTTCTGGTGGTGTTTCTACATTTACGACTTCTGTCATGGCCGCTGTTTGTTGTCGAAAAAGTTGTTTTGGGGGATTGATGCTGTTTTGCGAAGGAATAATTGTTACACAGATATATTATGAGTCTTCTCGCTTCTTATCCTCTTCTTAGTTAGGCTTGGGTTCTGTTGTGAATGCTCACGTGTTGAGCATTCTCATAGTTTGATTGCCACACTGGTGACGAGTGATATTAATATCTGCATGCTTTCTCGGTCTTCCTTGTTGTTCTCTGTTGCCAAGTTGTTCGTGGTGGCACTTGTCTTCTTGTCAATTTGCCAGCTTCACTGGCTCGGCATCAGGCAAACCTGATTGCTCGCGACTAACCAAATCACGAGAGCGGAGAGGAAAAGATCCTGAAAAGCCCGCCAAAAACCTCCAAACACGAAGGCTCGGAGGCTCCATCTCTCCTCTCTCTTCTCTCTTATTATTTGTTTGGCCTTGGTGGCTTGACGGCGGTGGCGGCCAAGTTAGTCTAATTGTCATGTATCGAAGGAGCGGACGCACCATGTCCTTCTCGGCTGTCAGAGCCGAAGCGGAATCCGCTGATGATATGTCTGACGGTCCTGTTGATAGTGCCGAAATAGTGCTGAGCGAAGATGATTCCCCTACCAAGAATATCAAAGAAATAGTCCGGCGTTGCAAGCAAGAGCCATCCTTGGTGGTGGCGCCCGTGGTCTACAAATTTGACTCTACTACCATTCGGACACGCCCCTTGGTCTACTTGATTCGTAAGGGTGCCAGTCTGAATATCATTCGAGCCTTTCTGGAGAGACATTGGGAGTTCGTCCAAGAGGCGCATCCCCAGTTTTCACGAGAACTCGATCCTCTCCGCATTGTCTGCGAGAGTGCGCCCAAAGCCACTCCTGGTCTAGTGGCCTATTTGGTACGGAAATTCCCTCCCGCTACTTGCGAAGGATATCATTTGCTCGAATCCTTACTCGATCGGAATCGTTCCAAGACGTTGGAGGATGTCACGGCATTGTATAACGTGACATTCACCGATGCCGGCCAAACCTTGAACCGACGACAGGCAGAGCGTCTGATTCAATACACCTGTCTCGGTCACACGGGACGTCAAGATCCACTCGTCCAATTCATGACGGACAAAATCTGCCAAGCGCCGATTGAAACTATGAAATTACACGTCCGCTGGATGTCATTGCCCAAAACCAAATCTTTGTGCTCACTCATCTCCAAGGAAACTCTGACAGAGCTGGATCTGAATTTTACAACGGGTCCCCCGGACGATTTCACGACAATCGTGCCCAAGGAATGGTCACTCTTGATGGGGGCCTTGAAGACGGCCAAGGGTCTACGAGATCTCAAGTTGTGCGTGCGAGCGGACAATAGCACTGCCAATTTGACGACACTACGGGATACACTCGTGTCCATGATGTCCAAAGTGCCCATGACAAAGCTGGATCGGCTGGAAATTACGGCCCAGAAAAATCGCCGCGACGTGGGAATGGATGTGGCCAAAACATTTGATTTGACACCGGTCGTCACCAATCTTTTGCAGCACACCCAAGTGAAACAGCTTCGTCTCGATCCATTTCCAATTGAACCAAAACCCTTCTTGGAAGCACTTCGGCATAATACATATCTAGAACAATGTGCCCTTATGTTGCACCCCTCTAATCCATCTGATGGTGATGATGACGATGTCAATGATGAAGAACGTGTCAGCAATGTGATGGAGACTTTGATCGATCTCCTCCACAATGAAAATACGACGCTGACACGCATGGATTGGCTGAACCAGCCATTCGTAGCAAAATCACCTTGGAAGCCCACCGTGGACTATCTCCTCGCTCTCAATGCGTGCGGTCGCCATATTGCGCGAAATCCGAAATCCTCCGTCAAAGACGTATTGGATCTTCTGGACGGACCGTCCCTGTACTACCGCACCAACTTGGGGCGCAAAAACACCCAACGGGAGTTTGATTTCGTCTACGGGCTCCTGCGAGAAAATCCCAACAATTGGATTCCAAATAATGTGCATTGCGGTGTCGTCTCTCAAGGAGTCAACAAGAAACGAAAGCAACGCAAGGCTCCTCCTCGGGCGCCACCGCGCACAAAACTGCGGCGTAGTGGACGGGTTAGGGTGCACTCGCCAAAGAGGAACCAACACAGCAGCTACCGGTGGTAGCTAGCTACTAGTTGGATTGGTGGCATTCGAGAGCATCACATCAACGGACAAGATACATCGTTCCATGGAGAACAACAGACGGAACAATGTTCGTGTGATACCAAGCAACGACTTTGGTGCGTGAGAGAGAAGAGCTTGATCTACAAGCTAGTAACTTCCAGAAAGCTACAAGTATCCTGTATGCTGTTTGCGGAGCTGTATACCGGGTATTAATATAATTGTAGCACTATCTATTCTTATTGATATGCTCTCCTTCTGTCCCTATCGTTAGAAACCCAGAGTTGTTGGGCGTAGTGCCGGCGGGTACGGCAACAGACTTGCTAGATCAAATCCGATGTCCCTCGATCATGCAGATGCATCCAGTGCGCCAAAGGCTTTCTGTCCCGATGATTTTCGCCTCCGCATGGCCTTTGACATCCTCTTCCGCCACGCCTTTACTCCTCTCTTCTTTGACTTCTTCCCTTCCCCTGAAGGCAAGGTAGCTGCTGGATTCATGCGCAACAGCTCAAAAGTGGCATCCAAACTTAGTTGTGGCTGCCTTTGCAAGAAAAGGGAAGTCCACTCTTCAGTTCCAATGGTATTGTCCAAAAGGTGCTTCATACCAGAGCGGTTCAGTTCAAGAAAGACATCCAACTTGGGAGGAAGAGCCATGCCAAACAGGGACAGCTCCCAAAGAGAACAGTTCTGCCCTCTCTCAAAGACCTGGACAAGCTCCTTCTTGGGGTCTGGTTTGAGTGTGCTACTGTGGCATGACAACGTGGATAGAGGCAGGTCATGGCCTTTGCCTTCTTCTTCATCGTTGTCGCTGGAACAATCAAGACCCAAGAATTGACTTGACATCATATCCTCTGTACATTCTGTACGTTGAGATTCATCTGGCCACAGCTTTGTTGCAACGCGAGTTCTGTTCTGTGCAGTGGTCATTCGAGTGGTGGCTGCCGCTGAAGTGGGTTGATCACCCACAACTAGAGTGTGCAGAGAAGAGTTGCACTGCAATCCTTGAGTGACCTGTTTGAGATCCTCATGCTCCCAATGCACATAGCATCCAAGGGACAACCTGAGACTCTCGAGTCCTGTGTTGGTATGGAGAATTTCCTTCAGGTCAGAGCCGCTGCAGGTCAGGTGAGCCTGGCCCATAGCCATGCGAGCCTCATCAGTGATCTCCAAACTTTTGAGCCTGGGCAGGGACTGAAAAGACTTCACTATTGGTGCTACTGATTCTTCCCTGCGAAGCTCGTCACTTTGCAAGTGCAGTGTGATGTGCTCCAGAGATGGGTGGTGCTGCAGGTGGTGACCAAGCTCGGAGTGAACCCCTTCCTTAGCCGTGGCAAGGCTGTAGTTTTCATCGGAGTGGTAAAGCATAAATTCGTTGACTGTAAGATGCTTCAGGTTCTTGGCCCTGGAAACGGTTGAAAACAGTTCCAGAAAGCGCTTGAGACCATCTTCTTCCACGTGAAGATACGAAAAGTCAATCTTGAGGTGAGTCAGGCCAGGCAAGCCATACAAGGCACTGCTCAAGGCACAGATCTGGATCTTTTCCCACGCTACGTCTGGAGGTTCATAGCGTACACGTGCATTCCAAAGGATGACAACTCCCGACTTCCAATCTGGATGGTCAAGTGAGTGACAGATTTATTTGCCATGCATGCCTTCCTCAAAGGCATGAAGGTGTCTCCAGAAATAGACTCTGACTCATAAGGATTGATCACCACTACCAGTTCCTTTGTGCGTTTAATTTTGAGAACATGGGCAACCTTCTTATTAAAGTATGTGTCGGAATCCAAAAGGACCTCATCATAAGGTTTCATCTCAAGAAGGGAGTTTCGGTACGCTTGCAAGTTGTGAACATACTCTTTTGGGTTTTGCAGAAACTCTCGAGGGGAAAACTTGATGGAGTTCATGGTCAGGATCTTGAGTTGTTGAGATAGGGATGGAATGTACACCTTTCCAGTTTGTGAATCGAATGATTCAATCATATTATGATAAATGAACCAAAAAGGAAGACGATGTTGGTGGATAAAGCCACAGAAAGATTTGCGGGTCAGCGCAACGTGTGTGGCACCAGGTCCCCAGAAGCGAATGCCTCATTATTCTCAGTACTTTAGTAGACTACGAGTACTGTACACAGTAGCGCGGCCCGCGATGGTGGTACTACTACCAAGAAAAAGAACTTGCACCATGGCGAACATCACTTTACTTTTCGGGGAAGAGGGGAAATTGAGACCTGTATCCAACAGCCATCCAAAATATCCAAAATCCAAACCTGGACTACGGTAGACTAACTACCCGGTAACTTAAACCCTTCTTTTCTTTAATTAATGTTTCACCAACTCAATCGATGAGCATCCATGTCTTTAATTAAAAAGGAGAGGAGGACGGCCACATAACAGACGCATGTTCGCTGGAGGCTTCAGTCTACATTGTACAGTACTCCCGTTGAGTACTACTAAGTACTACAGTACAGCGTACCAGCACCTTCGTACGAAGAAAGCCAGCAAGCTTTTCAACGAGAGATCCAAGTCTACCAAGACAGAGCATTCGCTTATCTTCTCGGGGAAGAGGGGAAATGCCGACCTGTGTTCAACATTATATATTCGTTATAACTGTGCGCGAACTTTTAAAATACACTAAAGTAGCTTGCAAATAGTGCGAACCGTTGCCGATGGGGACTGGAACCCCAAACCAAGGAAAAGTTAGCGATATGCCGGACCGCTGAGCTTTTCATGATTGAAGATGGTGTTCCACCACAAAAATTGCCTCATCTCCTGCAAAAGAAGAGCCTCCAAAAAATACTAGAGTAAAAGTCATTTTAAGACCGGGTGAAGATTAAGACCATGTAATTAATAGAGGTTCTTACGTAGGATCCTACGTAGCTTCAGTACCAGAGCAATAGAGGTGCTTCCTAAGTGTTCCGTAGGATCTTACAGGACTCTCCTATGTAGGATCCTACACAGTTAAGTACTGTAAAGTCTTAAACTGCCGAGAAAAAGAATTCGTCACAAAAGTGAGGATATTTTCAATCAACCATAACTCCACCAATAAGTACACTCTGATCTTGGGAATTTAATGGGATACTCAACAACATGTGCCCTTTCGATTCAGCTACTTAGAAGTACAATATTCGAGATCCACCTCTTAAGAGAATAATCCGGGGAAAGGTCGGTCGTAAATCGCATTTTACTCTAATTAAATCAATTTTCCCTCAAAGTCAATCGACCGTCTTAAAATTGAAAGGAACGTGGCACAGGCTATTAATAGGCTGGCTTTGGCAGATGCACCTACCGATCCTATCTGTAACACGCGACCGACATACTGGTACGTAGAGGATGGAACCGCAACGTTTTTTAGCGTAGCGTTTTTAGCGTTTTATACGCTACGCTAGCCCCAAGCGTTTGCGTTTTTTAGCGTGTTTGTGTAGTAGTGTATAAAAACAGCGTTTTTAGCGTTTTATAGCATTTTATAGCGTTTTATCTCTTTTTTTAACGTTTTTCAATGAAGATGCCACTTACAACCTTGTATAACTTACTTCACCAACTCTTTAAACATATATATGAACTTTCTGGATGGTGGTACTGGTGCTGGTGCGTGTTGGTATGGTTCTATAGCACTATCGGGCCTGAAAATGACATGTTTGGATGCAAAATGAGGTCAGATATGCTACTTTGGGTTATCTGGAAGGATGTGCTGCAGTGACCAAACATGAACTAACTCCTTATACATATAGATGAACTTTCTGAACGGTGGTACTGGTGCCTTAACGGTTTTTAGATGTTTTCAACTTCAAAAATTCACCATGCAACCAATGGTATCTCGATCTGACACGCCTTGGGGTCACGGGTGTGGCCAGGGCCCGCTCTAACCACAATCGTTTGCCTTTTGATCTACTGCACTTTTCTATGAAATTTCAAAGTATATAAACAAAATAAATGTAAATATCCATTTCTAAAGAATCACACCATTCTTAATAGTCTGATTGCACTCTATTGTAGTGCACCAATACTGTAAAAAACGCTAACAGAAACGCTAACAAAAACGCTAATAAAACGCTAACAAAAACGCTGAGCTCATAGTAATAAAAAACGCTAAAAAACGCATAATAACAAACGCTAAGGGGACCTGTTAGCGTTTAAACGCTACGCTTGACCCTGCGTTTGCGGTTCCATCCTCTACTGGTACGGGACGTTGAGTTGAGCCTGGCGGATTGGGCTTAGGTGACATATAAAGTTGATTCAACTGGGGGCTCCAATTAGGAGACAGCAAAGTACTTAACTTTCTATAGTAAACATGTCGTGGTCAAAACTTCAACCCCACATTTCCAAAAATAAATGTGGGGGTTGAAGTTTAACGCTCGGAGTCCCAAAATCTGGGAGACCCCACTCCCAAAATCTGGGAGACCCCACTCCCAGATTCTGGGAGTCTCTACTGGTAGGTGTGGTAAATATTGGGTCAGATTTCTATTTTATTCCCGCATCTACCTGAATATCCTGTCTTCCAGGAAAATCAATGCTGATGGTTGATGAGTCCGCCTGCACGTACAGAGGTTCTGTTGAACCGCTTGTTGCAGCGGCTACAGCGGCTACTCCTCTTAACAAAGGCTACTACTCACCACCATGACAGGCTCCTCTTGTTTGGCTAGCGGCAGCGGCAGCAGCAGCGGCAGCGACAGCCGTTCGACGATCGGTCGTTCTGTTCGACTTCCGACAACTTCTTCTTCGATCGATCGGAGCGACCATGACGCCTCCTCTTCCACGGAACGACGACGCACGCCTCTACCGTTAATGAAACAACAAGGGACTACTACTACAATAATGTAGAAGAGATAGCATCATCTTGATAGAGTAAACATAGAGTAAAGGTACTTCTACTGGTAGAGGTATCGAGTTCGCAGGGGTGACTCCCAGAATCTGGGAGTGGGGTCTCCCAGATTTTGGGAATCATCCTCCCAAAATCTGGTGCGGCCAAGATCTCGTTCCAACCAAGAAGAAAAAAAAAAGAAGGAGGGGGGGACAGACGCCCTTGATGACGTTGCAGGTCCCGACCTTTAACTACCACATGTCTCGACTCTAATACTCATGTCATTCCTCAGACACGATGATTTCGTCAAATACTAGTTTAAATGTACTATTACGCTTGCAGTGCCTTGTGGGAACCAAATATTCTTGAGTCTTGATGAAGTCCATCCCCACCGTTTAATCTTTAACCCTCAACTCTCGGTGCAATTCAGCGTGGAGATTCGAAACTCACTTTATTGGGATGAATGGCAATACACTCCTGCCACCACAATGACAACCGGAGATGCGCCCGCTCAAGCAATTCAGCCCAGCACAACAGACATTCATCAAGTCTAACACGTGCATCCATTGACAATAGCCATTCGTGCGTCCTCAAAGGGCATATACTGGAAGAATGTTCAACCACCGAGGGAGGAAAAACAAGCAATCTGTTGAATAGCTGCCGCCGAAGAAAACCAAAGCGATCCTTCTATGTGAAAGGAATGGCGGTGTTTGTGCCCCATCTGTTATTCCAGGGCCACGTTCCAACATGTCCGCACTGCAAGAAACAGCTATGTCGTGTTTTGAAGACTCGGTGGATCACAATCCCAAAAGTTTATTTGTGTTACCCGGCACGGTTTCCTATACTGTCCTCTACCCCTGCAATCTATTGTGGCAGCGTTTGCGGGTACAACAAGGAGAGCATGAAACTGGATTCGAGTGTTTATGGATCAAGCTTTAACTTCTATTTGGGCCACGGATATGCAGTAGACGATGAACTTTACAGTCAAATTGTCTTGGAGGCATCCACCGAATGTACCGCCAGCATCGCAAAACGGCTGAAGAGATTTGCATACAGTGCCTATTACAGTGATTTCGAGCTCTATCTATCAGCCGTGGGCAGAGATCAGATTGACTGCCGTCCAAGAAAAGGCAAAGACAATGGATGCTTTGTTGGTTGTTCAAACTGATGATTGAATTAAGGACATCCAGTCGCCACGAAGCATGGAGTGAGCAA